TTTTCCTCTCCACTGTCGCTACAAGCATGCTTAGTGTGAGGGATTGTATTCAAGTCAATGAGTTGATGCAATTAGCTGGTTTTCCTGATTTTTAAGATTTTTAAGGGGTGATGCCATCCTCCCTCATCCACCCTAAACTTGAGCATTGGATGTAAGTTCATATAGGTTTTCATATCTAATGCAGGATTTATCTGCTGTGTGTTTTTAATGGAGCGGGCGGGGCAGATATGCTAACCTAATTGTGCAGAATTATCAGTGGGGAACCTGAAGCCAAGCGTGAGGCTGCTCAGTAGATTTAACCTCCACAGATATAACAGGTGTGTGTCTCTGTGTTTTTGTTTATCCTGCGGAGAGATGATCCTCTGAAACTCTTAACCGACGAAGCGGGGACATTTTCCAGGTTCTGTTTTTCCTTTTCCTTTTTTGTGTGTTAGGTTTAGGACTAAGATGTGAATTAAGTGTAAGAAGACCAACTGGATTTATTTGGATCCGGTTCTGATGTGGTGGAACTCAATCGTTAGAATGACTAGTAGTAAATACAAAGTAGGGACTATTGTAGAAATCAAGGCATTGTCTCTCTCTTTCTGTGTGTGTGGATGAGGCCTCAGGATATAACAGGTGGTGGAGCTGAGCCAATCAGAGCAGAACTTCTCACAGTCCTGCATTCAGACCAGACGCCTATTTAAACCTTTCCACATGTCAGCCTCGCTGAGGGGCATTAATAACCTGTTCATGTAAAATATTCACACCCCTCAAACTTTCCAACAGCTTTTTGTAATCAGGAATTAGGGACAGAAACCCAAACTGTTGCTTAACATTGAAGGTAATTCATAGATGGTTTTTATATTTATCTGGATTACTTGTTAACCTCCATGTACTGCTTATCAGTAAACATTATCCTGCTGTATTCAACTCAGTCACCAATCCACAGTGTCAGCATTCTTTAAGTCTGCCTCCATCATTTCAATCCTAAAGATGTCTCAAATCACTTCATTTAATGATTACTGGCCTGTCGCACTCCATGTCTGACTCCCATTCATGATAAAGTTCTTCAAAAGGCTGGTTAAAAAACATCGTCTCCAGTCTGCCGCCAACATTCGACCCGTCCCAGTTCGCCTACAGACACAACCGCTCTACTGAGGACGCCATCCCTGCTGCTCTCCACCTGAGCCTGGCCCACCTGGAGGAGAAGAACACCCACGTGCGGATGCTGTTCCTGGACTTCAGTTTAGTTTCAACATCATCATCCCACAGAGTCTGATGGGCAAACTGGAACAGCTGGGCTTCAATACATCCCTCTGCAACTGGCTGCTAGACTTCCTCACCATCAGACAGAACACCTCATCACCCTAAGCACAGGCTCCCCTCAGGGCTGCATCCTGAGCCCCCTGCTGTTCACCCTGATGACACATGACTGCGTCCCCAGGTTCACCACCAATCACAGCGGGAAGTTTGCAGACCACACCACGGTGGTGGGCCTCATTAGAGACGACAACGACCTGGACTGCAGAGAGGAGGTGGAGCAGCTGGTGGACTGGTGCAAAGA